TAATAATTATTATTATTATTATTATTATTATTTTGACTCGTTTTAATTTACTTATTTTAATCAGTTTAGTTCAGTTCAGTTTAATTTATTTTATTTTATTTTATTTTATTTAAATTGTATTTATTTTTAAAAATTTATTTAATTTTCACTTACTTTAATTTAATTTATTTAATTTATTTTAATTTATTTAATTTTCATTTATTTTAATTTAATTTCTTCTGCTTTATTTTATTTTATTTTAATTCAATTCAATTTCTTTTATTTTAATTCCAGGCCGCTCCCTCCTCCCGCGCTGCCTCCGCTCGTTCCTGCCCGTGTACATCCTGCTGGGCCTCTCCCTCCTGCTCAGCATCTCCCTCTGCGCCCTCTCCCTCTCCAGAGGTGCCACAATTCCCTCCTTCCCTGAGTCCCTCCTTCCCTCATTCCCTCCTTCCCTGAGTCCCTCATTCCCCGAGTCCCTCCTTCCCTCATTCCCACTGTTTCCACTCCATTATCCCTCTTTCCCACCCATTTATCCCCCTCCATTCACTAATTATCCACCCAAACCCCCCCAGATCCCAAATCCCAATCCCCGTCCCTGCTCCCTCCCTTCCCGCCCCATCCCAACTTTTGACCCAACAATCCGAGTTTTGGGGGATTTTTGTTCCCCCAGAGCCCCCCAATAATCTGATTTTTGCCCCAAATTTGGGCCCATTTTCTGTCTCCCCCTTTCCCAGTTTCTGCCCTTTCCTCCAAACTCCTCGAGGTGAATCCGGAGCGGAGGCAGAACTTTTCCAACCGGGATTCCCTCTGTAAGTCCCAACCCCTCAACACTTCCCTGCCCCTCCAGGTATTCCCTAAATCCCAAAATCCTCCCCAGTTCCCTCCAAACTCCTGCCAGAGGCATCGACCCCTCGGGAAAAATCCCATTGGACACTTGGGAAAATTCCATTGAGCCCTTTGGAAATCCCACTGAACCCTCTGGAAAAATCCCATTGAACCCTTTGGAAAAAAAAATCCCATTTAACACTTGAACCCTTTGGAAAAAAATCCCATTTTCTCTTCCCAATGTGATTTCCCCCCCCACGATCCCAACGTTCCCCGTTTTCCCCGGGAATAACCCCCCACACACACACCAATTCCTGCCCTTTCTCCCCCTTTCCCCCCAAAACTCCCCTTTTCCCGGCTGATCCCCCCTCCCCCCGTCCCTCGGTGTCCCCGCAGTGTTTCCGTGCGGGCCGGATTCCCGGGAATGGGAATATTTCCACGGGAAGTGTTACTATTTCTCTCTGGGCCGCGCCAGCTGGTTCCGGGCCAAGGCTCAGTGCGAGGAGCTGGGATCGCACCTCGCCGTCATCGACAGCTTCGCCGAGCAGGTACCGAGCCCGAGCCCGCCGGGAATTCCCGCCGGGAATCCTCCCGGAGAGCCGTTCCCGCGCTCCGCCGCCAGGGAGCGGCCGGGAACGGCGGCCCGGGGGTTTTTTGGGATGCGGTTGGATCGCGGCTTGTGCCGTGTCCCTGCTCCGCGTCCCTTTTCCGTGTCCTTGTCCCGCATCCCTGTCCCTCATCCTTATCCCTGTCCCTCATCCTTATCCCTGTCCCTCATCCTTATCCCTGTCCCTCATCCTTATCCCTGTCCCACATCCTTATCCCTGTCCCTCATCCCGCATCCCTGTCCCACATCCTTATCCCTGTCCCTCATCCTTATCCCTGTCCCTCATCCTTATCCCTGTCCCTCATCCTTGTCCCTGTCCCTCATCCTTATCCCTGTCCCTCATCCTTATCCCTGTCCCTCATCCCTGTCCTTCATCCTTATCCTTATCCCTATCCCACATCCCTATCCCTGTCCCACATCCTCATCCCACATCCCTATCCCTCATCCCATATCCCATTTCCCACACCCCTATGCCTGTCCCCATCCCTAATCCCAATCCCTCATCCCTACCCCGCATCCCTATCCCATATCCTTCATCCCTATCCCACATCCCCATCCCGCTCCCAATCCCTCTCCCTCCCCGATCCCATTCCTCCTTTTCCCGGCGTTTTTCCCGCCCTGATCCCGCTCCCCGATCCCGGCAGAGCTTCATCATGTTCCGGACGCGGAACGAGCGCTTCTGGATCGGCCTCACGGATCGGAATTCCGAGGGGGATTGGGAATGGATCGACGGCACCGACTACAGAACCACCTTCACGTCAGTGCGGGGGCGCCTCGAGCCGGGACTGACCCCAAAATCGGGCTCAGACCACCCCGTTTGTGCTCCCATCCCGCCTTTATCCCTCCTTATCCCTGCTCTTCCCAGGTTCTGGAAGGAGGGGGAGCCCAACAACAGCGGGAATAACGAGGACTGTGCCCACGTCTGGGTCGCCGGGAAGTGGAACGACGTTTACTGCACCTACGAGTGTTACTTCGTGTGCGAGAAGCCGCTGCCCCGCTGAGCGCCGGCGGGAGCCGCCTCTTCCCCCCTAATTTATGGAATCCGAGCCCGCGGCTCCCGCTTTTCCCGGGATTCGGGACGCGGTCGGGTGTCCCCGCGCGATAAAAGCGGGAATTCGGGGGCTCCCTGTGGAGCTCCGGTGAATAAAAGGGGGTTTTGTCCTGTTTGGGGGGTCTGGGAGGGGGTTTTGGGGCGGGGATCGGCGTCACGAGGGAAAACCGGCGTTTTCCAAGCTTTTTCCTGGTTTTTGGGGGGATGTTTAGTTTGGATTCCCACGGGAGAATTACCTGGAATTTGGGTGTTTTAGGAGGAGACTCGAGGGCGGTTCAGGTCCGTGCGGGGTCCAGGAGCCTGCGGGGATCAGGGAAAAGTGTCCTTCCCTTCCCGGTTTTCCGTCCTTCCCCCCCAAACCCGGCATATTCCCGACTTTTCCCTGGATTTCCAGGTGGGGGGTGGTCCCGAGGTTGGGGAGGGGGTCCCGGGGGCGGGGGCGGCGCGTCCGCCCCGAGCACGATCGTGCCGCGCTCGGGATCCTCTCCCGGGGCTCTCCCGGTGTCCCCATCCCAGTGTCCCCATCCCGGTGTCCCTGTCCCGTGTCCCGGTGAGTGCCCACAGGGGGGGTGGCACGGGGGGGACACACCGGGATAGGCACCGGGGCGACCCCGGCAGCGACCCCGGGGGCCAACCCCGGTCCCCTCGGGCCGCCGTGTCTGTCCCGACATGTCGCGACTCGGCGGAGGGCGGGGGGGGGGGGGGGAGAAGGGGGGGCGCGGCCCCCGGGGGCTCCGGGGGGGAGCGGGAGGAGCCGCCGGGATTCGGTACCGGGAGCTCCGGGAGGAGGAGGAGGAGGAGGAGGAGGAGGAGGAGGAGGAGCGGGAGGAGCGGAGAGACCCCCGAGGCGGCGGGCGCGGGGTTTTTCCCGGTGCTCTCCCGGTCCGGTCCCGGTGGTTTCCCGGTGCTCTCCCGGTCCGGTCCCGGTTCTCACGCTCCTCTCCCGGTCCCATCCCGGTGTTTTTCCCGCTCCTCTCCCGACCCCATCCCGGTGTTTTTACCTGTGCTCTCCCGGTCTGCTCCCGCTCCTCACGGCTTCTTCCTCGATCCCATCCCGGTCCTCTCCCGGTGCTTTCCTCCCGGTTCTCCCTCGGTCCGATCCCGGTCTTATCCCGGTCCTCTCCTGGTCCTCCCGGCTGCTCTCCCGGTCCTATCCCGGTGTTCTCACGGCTCCTCCCACTCCTCCCCCGGTCCGCTCCCGCTCCCATCCCGGTGTTGTCCCCGCTCCTTCCCCTCCCGCAGCCGCCGGGATGAAGACGGAGGAGGCTCCGTCCTGTCTCCAGCAGGCGACGGCCGTCCTGGGATTCGGTGAGTGCCGGGAATACCGGGAATGGGGGTACCGGGAGACCCCCAGCCCCGGCAGCATCCCCATCCCCATCCCTATCCTCATCCCCATCCCCATCCTCATCCTCATCCCCATCCTCATCCTCATCCCCATCCTCATCCTCATCCCCATCCCCATCCCCATCCCTATCCCCATCCTCATCCTCATCCCCATCCTCATCCCTATCCCCATCCCCATCCTCATCCTCATCCTCATCCCCATCCCCATCCCCATCCTCATCCTCATCCTCATCCTCATCCCCATCCCCATCCCCATCCTCATCCTTATCCTCATCCTCATCCTCATCCCCATCCTCATCCTCATCC